CAGCTTCAGAACCCGCAGAGCGGCTCCGTCCTCACCTCGCCCGGACACAACCACAGCCAGACGCTCGCCGGGACCCTGCCCAAATCACGGCCCAAACCGCCCCGCCAGAGACCCAGCCTGCCCCCCCCACAGCCCCCGCCGCTGGACGCTCTGTCCGCCGGGGAGAGCATGTCTACAGGTACAACACTGATTTCTGGAAATAATCAGGCTCCGTTCCGAATGCTAGTGAGTGTTCTTCCTGTCTACTCAGGGCTTGACGCTTACCTTTTTCCCAAGGAGCTCCTAAGTTGAAAAATTGAAGAGCACATTACAAAAATGTAGCAAATTTTTCAAATTATGAGTTTTAGCTTAAAGACACAGGTTATAATGCTACTCTGTGCGCTCGTCACCGGTCTATTAAAACACACAACATATTAAAGCGTCTTTGGTGTTTCCATGTTTTCTACAAAACAAAACCGGAAATCCAGGGGTTATGACGTCATTAGCAGGCGACACAATGACACGATGGACACGCTCCGTGTCACTAGTTAAAATTGCTTATTGCTTATTAATTAGCTTATTCTAATTGCTTAGAATGTTTCTTATTATTTTGAGAAAATAAGTCATTATTTCGAGAAAGTTTCTTATTATTTCGAGAAAATAAGTCATTATTTAGAGAAAATTTATAAAAATATAAAAAAGTTTCTTACCATTTCAAGAAAATAAGTCATTATTTCGAGAAAGTTTCTTATGCTTGTGCTTGTGTGTGTGCATGTGCGCGTGTGTTTGTGTGTGTGCGTGTGAGTGTGTGTGTGTGTGCGTGCGTGTGAGTGAATGTGTCTGTGTGCGTGTGCTTGTGTGTGTGCATGTGCATGTGCGTGTGTGTTTGTGTGTGCATGTGCACGTGTGTTTGTGTGTGTGTGTGTGCGTGTGAGTGTGTGTGTGTGTGTGTGTGTGTGTGTGTGTGAGTGTGTGTTATGTATCCCGTGTGACTCTGCGGTGGTTTCTTCTCTTCTCTCCTGTGGTGGTTGTGATCTCTGCAGCGGTCTGATCTCTGCTGTCAGTGGTTTTGGTTCAGATGGTAAGCACTCGTGTGTGTGTCTGTATGTAAACTCACCCGCTGTTATCCAGCGTCCCGGGCTGCGTGTCTCTAACGCTGTGCATGGCTCTCCATCCGTCTGATCGTCTCTCACCATCCGTCCTTCAGTTCAAACACACCACTGACCCACTCAAACCCATCTCACGTGTTCCTGTATGATCTGACATCCTCATGACCAAACATCCAACTACAGCGGTTTTATTCTTCTGTGGAGCAAACCAGATGTGATTTCTTCACTGCAGTGGTTCATAGTGATCATGACTGTCATGCTGTAAAGCAGCGATCCCCAATCTTCTTTGTCAACCACATTACACACATCATCTGATGAATTTAGGTTTTACAATTTTTCAGATGGACTGTTAAATGCATCTGCTAAAAACTGTCAAATGCTTCAAAACTTACACTACGTTTCAAAAGTTTTTGGTTAGCAAGAATTTTTAGAAAAGAATGAATGTTCTATAATGCAAGGATGCATTAAATTGATGAAAAGTGACAGTAAAGATATTTATAATGTTACAAAATGTTTCTATTTCAAATAAATGCTGATCTTTTGAACTTTCTGTTCATCTGTGAATCCTAAAAAATAAAATGTATCACGATTTCCACAAAAATATTGTGCAGCACAACTGTTTTCAACATTGATAATAATCAGAAATGTTTCTTGAGCAGCAAATCAGCATATTAGAATGATTTCTGAAGATCATGTGACACTGAAGACTGCAGTAATGATGCTGAAAATTTTAATTTGAACAGATATTCACATAGAAAACAGCTGTTTTAGATTCTAATAATATTTCAAATTTTTTACTGTATTTTTGATCAAATAAAAGCAGCCTTGCTGAGCAGAAGAGACCAGCTCCTGAACACTAGTGTATAGTGAGAGCGGGGCACAAAGTAACACTTTTTGACTTTCTCAGTTTGTGTAAATAAATCCACATGGGGTTCAGAATACAATTTTTTTTTATCCACAGTAATTTTACACTTGTCTAGTACAAATATGTCGCTTTGTTTCATAATTACAGTGTATACGTTTTTCTTTATTTACCCTCAAAAAATGGAAGTGAAATGTGACAACATGCCCCGTAGGTGGGGTACATTGTAACATCTGAGGGGCACGTTGTAACATGACCA